TTCTGCGAATGGGATCCATCGAACACAATTAATCGCAAACCAGCTAAAAGACGAAGACGTGGCTCCATGACATTATCGCCGGCCATTCCGCCGACAAGATTGCACGAAATCCAGCCATCACCGTTCGGAGATGTTTCTCCTAAACTTACATCTGAACAAATAGCCATAAATATTAGAGAAGAGATGAAAAGACTACAAAGACGAGAACGATTTTATTTTTCGTCCGGAGGATCTAATACACCGGAGAGTTCGTCAGACTCTCCCATCATGAATGTAGTAAGTCCTGGAAATGGCCTTTTAGCACCGACGAGACGCGATCAGCCGCTTTTTACTTTCCAACAAGTTGGCTTAATCTGCGAGCGTATGATGGAAGATCGTGAAAATCAGATCCGTGAAGAGTACGACCGCGTATTGACAACAAAATTAGCTGATCAATATGATACTTATGTTAAGTTCACATATGATCAAATTCAAAAAAAGTTTGGAAACAGTACACCTAATTATTTGTCTTAAACTACATTGGATAATTCAGTAGTGGAGCAGTAGAATGTTAAGAATTCAGTTGTACAACTTTTCCAATTCAGAAAACATGGACAACGTGAAAATAACAATAAAAAATAATAATAATAATAAACTTTTTTGTTGACCTTATTTCTAAGAAATATGCTGATTACAAATAAAGTAATAATTAAGGTCATAATTTTGAGAAAGAAATATTTTTTGGAAATACTGCTGTACGAGGTTAAAGATCTTTTATATCAAAAATACACAAAGAAAATTGTTGGGCAAACCTTCCAATAATGGCCAGTATAGGTAGTCTTGAATAAATTACTCGTATTTCATGTTGAGCGAGATTTTAGGTCACTCTCGCACCATTCATGTTTGCCGGTATTTCAGCCCGTCAAAACCGGATTCGACAGTTCGTGTGAATCCAACCTAACATTTTCTTATTTAAAATTAATATTAGCTCTTATAAATAGAACCCGTATATCGTAGTCACTTTGGGAGTAGCCCGTACTATGACAATAAGCGACAGATAACATGAAACGGGGTAAGTAAATAAAGCTTGTTTCATAATCGTGAAGAAAGCGGAATCCTTGAGATTCTAAAAGCGATATTTTGGCAGAATCGTCTGTACGATCATGTGCAGTTTTTACTTTCCGCTTCTGTTTCACAATCAACTATCAAGTTCCTTAAAAGGGTTCCTATTAGTTAAAGTCGATAGGGGAAATGGTGGCCGCCCATTATCGGAATGCTTCGCGATTTTCTCGTCCTCCGATTGGCTGAAATGTTTGGATTCGCTAGATTTCAAGCACGGTTTGACGTAGAAAATTCTCCCACAAACCGGTTGCGGAACCTTATCCAAACCAAGGTCTATGACCTTGGATCCTAACGCGATTTTATACGATTGAAACGAGTGCCAAAGCGAAAAACTTGCGATTGCAATGAGGATCCTCATACAGTGGCGTAGCGTAGTGGGGCGGCAGGGGCGGCCCGCACCGGGCGGCAAAATTTCACAATAAATAATAATATCTTGTAAACATTTGAACCATTTCATTTCATATTTTTGTCGTACCTACGATTAGGACCGATTGAAATGAGCACGGAATTTTTTATTACTTATTCTGTGACGAAACTGAATTTTAGTCTTTTAAATTGAGATACCTAAATAAGGGGGCGGCGAAATTTTCCTCCACTTCGGGCGGCTGACACCCACGCTACGCCACTGTCCTCATCCGCCTACTTTCCGCGTCAGAAAGAGTGATTGTGAAACAGGCTTAAGGGTCGAGTTATAAACTCCGTAACGTAACCGTATCCGTATTCGTAAATGTTTGCTACACTGGATATCTATAGCAATAGTTATAAACTACCGTAAGGGCTTATCCGTATCCGTAAGGGAACAAACTTTTCTTACGGTTTACGGAGCAGTCCATTGTGAGCATGCGCAAAATCATCTATAGTTATTGCCAGATCTAACACTATAATTATTTATTTATTTTATCATTTTTCTATTTTTTATGACCAAAGTAATTCTTATCTTAAAATTTTATATTATTTAGAAGTAGCATTGTCAGTCAAAAGTTACTTTTCAATCAATTTGTTATTTTTTTCTTTATCTGGCAACACTATCATCATCGACTACGATTAGCGCGTGCGCAGTTGGTCAATTTTCCGTATCGCCACCGTAAAAGTTTGATCGATCCAAACTTTTCTTACGGAATACGGTACGGCCATACGGATACGATACGGACTTTATAACCATGCTATACGGATTCGCTTACGGCTACGGATACGGTACGGTTACGGTTACGTTACGGAGTTTATAACTCGACCCTAAGGCTTCAATTACTGAAAATTCTGATTTTATTGACTCTGGTATTAAAATAATAATATATAGGCCTATATATATATGCTAATACAATATGTAACTTGAAGATTTATTAATTATAATTAATATGTTTACTTGCTGCTTTTTGCAGTATCTTTAGCAAGAGCAAGTGTATAATTGCAGTAAAAAATTCTATCCATTTAAATAAATTTATAAATGTTTTTTGCTTAAAAATGTATTATTAATTTTCATTAATTATTTAACATTTTTGTCATCATATTACATTATGTAACGTTTAATTTCATTTAAGTGCTTTTATAAATATTGATTACTAAAAATCATAAATTATAAAAATATTTATAAAAATAAATTTTTAAATCTAGTCTTAATATGTGTTTAAAGAATCTTATATATTTTATATATAGACAAGTAAATTAATAAAAAAATAAAAAATATAAAACAAGATGTCGAGAGTCACGGCAGTGTCTCCGTGCCAAGTAAAAAAGCACTGACTGACTATGTACAGGAATCAAAGTTGCCGATTTTCGGGATTCGATTTCTCCGCCCCCCAAACGCCTATAGTAATTCTGAATATCTCGTTCGAAAGATAATTGTTTTCTTAGATAATGTGCAAAATTTCAGATTTTTCTATAAAAGATTGCCGAAATATAAGCAATCGGAAAGTACAAAAAAGCTGTATTTTCTTTCTTCATCCGGCACTGCAGACGCTCTTACAGAAAAAACACTAATGAATCTAGAAAGCTCAAATTTTAAACTTAAGCTTCTCTCGTTATAAGTGAGATGCTGGCGAAACTTCTGAGCCGATAGGTCAAAGTTCCCCATAGAGTTATTTTACTTTTATCGCTTAATTTAATTCTTATGAGGATAAAATTGTATCGAGACGAATAATTTTCATTCAAAATGTTATCCAAAATAAGAATAGCTCAAATTTAAGCAAATTAAAACTATTTATAACGATTTTACTAAACGTCGTATTGAAAGCGTTCGGTCCATCGCCATTGCCGATCGCCGACCGAATCATAGTCATGGTCTTAGATCTTGATGTAATAACACAATCATTAACCAAATAACAATTGAAATCCAAACAAAAACATGAGATGTAAAAAATTGCTCCAAGTTAAAAATTATGACAATTTAGATGACAGTCAAATATTTTTTTTCTTAGGAGTTTTTCTTGATAAAGATAGATTTGGTGCTTGGAAGCGAAACGTAGAAAACATTAATACAGGAAATCTTGTGGATACCGTTTCGAAACGCCAAGCTTATCTTTACGAAAGAAAAACTCCTAAGAAAAAATTTGACTGTCATCTAAATTGTCATAATTTTTTACTTGGCGCAATTTTTTACATCTCACGTGTCAGATGTCCTTTTTGAATATTAATATTACATTATCTTTTAATGAAACTTCCCTTAGATGCCCTCTTTTTTTATGATTTGACTCTGTTAATTCTTATCCTTGCATAACATTTGGAATATTTCTTAACAAAAATTAATATCTTACAATAAGTAATCGTTTTATTATTTGCATATAAGTTACAATAATGTTATTAAATACGCAAATAACATACAGTATTTCAATTATGAACACATTTAATTACGGATAACTTTTTTTGGGTTCTTTCCGCCCAGTAGACACTAAGACGGTCTTTTCAAGCCCACAATGGAACATCCGGGTGGTGATATTACATTAGGACAATAAACAATAGTGATCATACAGAATACAGTGGTACCTCGGGATACGAAATTAATCCGTTCCAAAACTGAGATCGTATCATGAAAATGTCGTAAGGTGAGTCATTTTTCCCCATACGATTACATGTAAAACCAAATAATTTGTTCCAACACGAAAAACACACTCAAATTAAAGCTAAGTAGTACATTAAAAAAAATAATAATAACTATAGTAAGGAAAACACTGAAAAATGCGTTTTGTAGTTGTAAATGTATAAATAACCATAATAGAATAATAATTGATTAAAAAAAATGTAGTTTTATTTGCACTTTACCTTTGAGGATAGATGACGGTGGAGGTGTAAACTGGTGGCGGAAGAGAGGGAGAAGGGAAATGATACTAAAACTTAACTTATATAACATAATGTAACAATAACTTAAAAATAACTTAGAGAAGATAAAAAAAATTAGTGTTGTTTTATATATATTTTTTTAAATTTTTATTCACTGCTTTTTGCTTTCTTTCCTTCACTTCCACCAGCACTTTCACTGGATACAGGTCATTTGGTAAAATATCTATCCAAAGAGGTTTGGCTTTGCCTACTTTTTAAAGTGTTTCTAAAATGACTTAGGCAAATGTCATTACTCTGAGCAGCAATACAGCTAGTGTGAACCTTTTTGGAATGTTTCTTTTCAATAAAATCAGTCACTTTCTGATAATACCTCAAGATTTCCTTTATCGAGCAAGATACTTCCACGACGAAGCAAACACGGGACTGAGACCAATGAACAGAAGTGAATAAAAATTGGCGCTGCGAACTAATGTAACGACGTATGGTGAGTTATTGTTCGTATCGTGGAACAAAAATATGTTCGAATTTCATGTCGTATCCTGAAAATTTCGTATGTTGGGGCGTTCGTATCCTGAGGTACCACTATACCCTCAAAACACTCGAAAATATAAGGAGAGATAATATTATTAGTTATTCTGATTATTACATGGATGTTGTTGATATTTCAAACTGAATCCTCGTGCGTTGCGAGCTCCGTTTGATACAAAACGGACGATAAACGGTCCCGAAGTAGTATCTAAAACAAACACACATATATATACTTTTAATAAAATTTTAATACAAGAAAAATATTAAATCTTTATTTATTGAAATAATAAATATTTATAAAATATAGCGTAAATTTCAGAAATTATCACGTTAAAAATAATGAAAATAACATCGCTAGATGGCAGCAAATGACATTCAAGTGTAGTAATCTTTATAGAAATTCGAATAGAAAATTTATCACAGAAAAAAAAATTTATATCCATAATTATATTATCCGTAATAAATAATAAAAAAACTATTTTTAATATTTTAGCATAAAAATTTTTATATTTATTCATATAAAAAAGTATTGGTTACTTTTGTAAATGACTAAATTATATTAAATATAAGTTTTAAATTCTCTTAAAAACTTTTATATTAAGATTTTAAAGAGAAAATTTAAACATTTTATTTGAAAAATACTATAGTTTCTAAATAATTCGAAGAACTTAAATAAGATTTATCCATGAGATGTTCTTGCTATGTTTTTAAAAGTATTTAGATATTTTGTATACAATATACAGTTTTATACATAGTTTTAAATATTCTATAAATTGTTTCAGATACGTTTTTAAACAATGATATTATAAAACTAATGTAAGTGTATTTATTTTTATTTTGTAATATATTAGATCAAAATCTTTATATGATGCTTTAAATTTTAAAATGTATTTATTGTTAATCTTATTATTATTTAGATGTTAATATTAGGTTATTTTGTGGTTACAAAATTAAATTTATTTTTCTTCAATTTAATTGCTTTTAAAGAAATGACTTTTTCTTACTTTTTTAATGGACCAGGAACATGTTATTGATATTTAATGCTAATATATATTACATGTAAGAAGATATATACGAATGAAATTCAACAAAACTAGAGAATTAAAAAAAAAAAAAAATTATGAATCATTGGAATAAGAGTTTCTTAATTAATCAATAGCATTTTCAATGTTTCTAAATAGCGGCTTTTACAAACATATTGAATACTTATATCCTTGTTTCTTTGAAGACACCATTATAAACAATGTGATACAATACAGATTTTACAATATAGGAATATTATATTTGTTATATCACTTATAATTAAAAAAGCTGAATAAGAATGATATTGTTTAATAATAATCATAAACTGTTACATAAAGAAATATTTTAGATAATCATTCAATTATAAACAAAATATGCCAGAGCAATTGCAGAAGTGATAGAATGAACGTTCATTTCGCTCTATCAACTTTTTCCGGATGCGCGCTTCTTCTATTCTGTTTCTTAGCTTATACGTTTAGGTAAATAACAAATTATTTTCATATAAATTATTAAATGTATAATTTAATTAATATACCATCATCACCGTAGAGTAGCGCCAATTTTTTTTAAAAATATTTTTATTAATTTTAGCCGTTTATAGGTTACAACATTTTTCATTGTTTTTTGGATATTTTTTAATAAATATATTAAGCAGTTTTTAAAAAGTATAACTATAGATTAAATAAAAGAAGAGAATATTAAAATAGATAATAGGCTACGTGTTTACTCTGTGTTTAAGAATATTTGTTTTTACGTGTTTGTTCCCACACTGCTGGAAAAAATTTTTAACACTGGCCTAAATGTACAAATTTATACTTAAGTTCCAATAAATATATAATATAAAACATTTGGAATATATTTTATTTCATAAGTTTTAATATGTCTTTTTAAAGACGATTAGTGTATTTATTAACCTTAAAACAAATTCATAGTAAAAATCTACATTTGTCCTGATATCTCGTTTATTTTATCACTTATTATGAAAAGAATTAGAATACAGATAACGATTATATTAAGGATATTTTAATTTTGTCGTATGAAGTCACTATTTGAGCAGAATAAATATTAATACAGTATATGCTTTGGGAATTATGTTTTTAGTGCAATGACGGTAGTGTATTAAACTGTATACGAGACCGATAAGATGTTACTTCAGATATTTAAAAGCTTTATGAATTGCTACTTTTGATATAAATTATACAAATAAATTAAAAATTATATTATTTTAAAATGAATGTCGACGATAATTTATTAATAATTCAAATCATTGTAAGCAAGTGTAATATGATCAACAGACTAATTGTAGAATAACTTACTTGTAATTTAGGCATAAAAACTTTAAAATTCTGGCATAATAATCCAATGAAACTTGAACGAACACTTAGTTTATACCATTTGTTTTTGTACTATGATATACTTAAAACAGTTGTTTTTATAACAAATGATAATTTTTATACTTGTGTACTAATTTATATCTTTTATTTATATATTAATTTATTATTTTAATATAAAGTTAAAAGAGGATAAAAATTAAAAATAAATTATTGTAATATATAAAATGTAGACTAAATCATTAATAAATGTAATCATTTTAAGAGAGATGACAAAAGAAGCAAAAATTTAGTAAAAAATTTTCTGCTATAATTATTATTATTTGAATATATTAAAATTACATTTTAATATAAGCATAGAATTAAAGACATGAGCATTGCTGACGTTTGCCTTTTTTTATCTGCTAACATAGAATAAAAGGCCCAAAAGGCTTTTAAAGATTAGTTGGAGATACTCTTGCCTTACCGCCGACGGTTTTATGTAAAGATAGCCTAGATGTATCGCCGTCTTCTTTTACTTCTCCAGCCAATCTGCGTTCAGACAACCGTCACTCCATCTAATCTTTATTAAAATCTTTTAATCCTCTTATCTTCTAAATTTTACAGAGGAGTATTGATGTTCAGTGAAACTGTGACTAAATTTTCTCCCTCTGATTCTACTTCTTCCAAGGTTATTGTATTGATTAAGTGCATATTCTGCTTAATAGAGAATTTATTTTTAACTTTTAATTTTATTCAGATTTAGCGCAATATAAAATCAAAACTCATCTCAGTAGTCTAATTCCTAACACTGTTTTAATTGAAAATCACCTTCTATGCAAGTATAAGATTTAGTTCCTTACTCATTAGTCTAGTGGTAGTTAAATGTATTAAAAGCTAAACAATATATTTGACATTTTCAAGTATAAGTTTTTCTTAAAATTCTTAAAATATTTCAAATATACTCTATTTATATTGCAAATAATTCTATAGATTCTATGATGTATTTTTCTCAGATTTAAACTAACTTTTCTAATGAATGTGGTAAATATATTTTAGTTATAGCCTACATATAAAATTTTCCGAATTAATACTTATTCAAAAGAAAACTCACACAGGAATGACTCTAGAATTATAAAGAACTACGGCTAAACGACTAAGCATTTTCACATAATTACTAATAATGATAAAATTATATAATTTAAAAAAAAATTTCCAGATAAATCGGTAGTGTTTAACTTAAACTTAGGCCTATGTTCGTTGTGTCATCACATTATCCGTCTAAATAATCATAAGCAGTAGAGATGGCGTTGAGTAATATAAATGACCGCAAAAATTTCTCAGATTTTAGCTTCATCTAGGCCAGTGTTTCTCAACGGGGGCGGTATCGCCCCCATGTGGGCGTTTTTCCATGTTGAGGGGGCGATTAGTAACAATTTATATTTTGGGGGGCGAAAAACAATTTTCTGGGCGATATAGTAAAACATTATACTGTATTAAGAATAATTAGATATTTTATTCGTTATATCGTTCAATAATTAAACAAATAACATTATACTAGTCACTAGTCTATTCAATTCAGTACGAATTTGGCGTTAGCCTTGGCCCTCGACATCGGAATTTTGAAGTGAAGGGGGCGATACTACGTAACGGTTTTATTGAAGGGGACGATACTACGTTGAAGGGGGCGACGATTCGTTAGAGGTTGAGAAACACTGATCTAGGCCAATGTTTTCCAAACTTTTTCGGACTACCGCCCTCTTTTAGTGCACATATTTCACTGCCGTCACCATAAAATCAGTTAAAAATGATAAATTTAAAATTAATCGTAATAGTTAAGCGTGTCGAAATGGGAGAATAAGGTTCGCCTTGCCAGTGTTTCAGTTTTATTTAAATAATTAAAAGCGTAACAACACCATCTTATTTCATCTTCTCCTATATACAGTAGACTATTATTTGTAAGATCATGCTATCCCTGAGCTTAAATATGTGATAGTTATATGAGTTAATATCTTCGTAATAAGCTCTAATTTCTTCAATAATTAGTGTCAAAATTCTACAAAATTGAGGGAGAAAAAATATGCTTTTGAAATGTCTGGATGTAGATGAAGTAATAATACTGGTAATAAATAACAATACTTAATAAAACTAGGTATTGCTGATACTGAGACTTGATGAGCACCACAAAAATGTGTAATAGAAATAGTATAAGTACAGTACAGTACATGCACATCAAAGTGCAAGAAGGTCTGTGCACACAAAACCACGAAGGGCTAGCTAGTCTCATGAAAGTCTAGCTAGTCTCCTATATGATGAACAAGACTTATAGAACGTAGTAGCACTTGCCACGTCACGCAAACATTGGGCGTATTTTGTCCTGTTTAGTTCGCTCTATTCGTACGACTGCGACTTGCGTATTTCTTTATCATATTTTAAAAAAGAAGCGCTATTTCTATGCATCCTACGTCTAGTCAGATGTCTCAAAAATTGATTTTACAGTGTATCTGTTTAAAGTTCAATAGTAATATTTTTTGTTTTAAAGTGAATGTTTCCCCTTTGTCTTCCAGCGCCCCTACTGCTTCCTTGCCTCCCAGTGTCCTCCTTGAATCTCCTAATGCCCTCAGGGGGTAGTAGCGCCCACTTCGAGAATCACTAGTCCAGGCCAAAATCTGATATCTGCGGCTATTCGTTGATGATTTTTAAAATAAACCAAGTTAAAAAGTTTATATATAAGAGAAAAAACTATTTTAACATCTTAATCTGAAATTGGATTAAAATTTTTTTAAATATTTAAATTAGAGTTATTTTTAGATTAATTTTTGTTTAATTTATTTAAGTTTTCTATAATGCTTAAAGCTAAATTGACAATAGATCAGTAAAACGTATTCTTAAGAAAATAATACTCATATGTTATTTAAAATGTGGTATTAATTCTATTTTATGCTTATTTAATTTATATCATTACTAAATGAATCGAATACGTCAATAAAATCACAAGTTTCAGGACTATTTCATACCGATTCAATGGAAGTTAATTAACTAGATCAATCACCTGTTCAGCTTACCTGTGAGCAGTATGGGTGAAGACGCATTTACATTTCTTAAGGTTCTAGTAGGAGAAGGAGCCATTGCTGCACTACACAGTCTGGTGTCCCTTATGACTAAATAATCGTCTTTGCATTCAGCAGTCACAGGAGATGAAGAAAGAGCGGAGGAAGCCGCGGTTCCCACCGCAAACGGATAATGACCACCGTTTCTCCCCGTCGACAATTGATAAGTGACCGAACAATAACCGGGCATTTTTTTCAAACATATGGCATAATCCAAGTTATTAGGATAACCTTGCATCCTCATTGGTGCAGTATGCTCTTCGTAGTTAAAACTTTTAATTTCTCCTTGACTTTCGGTGTAATACTGTAGACAATGCGAAGGAGCTTCGAGAACAAAACAGTAACAAAAAAAAAAAAAAACTTATTTGGAGATCAAAATAAGAAATAAATCGAGATAAAATACAAACCTAAATCATCTCCGTAACAATATATTTGTGTGATTAATATGTTAAATTTTCTAGAATTATTTCCTATCATCATAATATGTAAGCCAAGTTCTCCGGACTCCCTGACATCGACGTAAACTAAATGAAATTTTTAAATTAATTTGATTATTTTTAATTCTATATATTTACAAAGATCAATAATTAATTATAAGAAAAAAAACTTGTGTAGAATGCTACATAACTCACTGTGCTGTCCATTATTTAATCCACAGATGCGCGGTATTCTATTATTTTCGTCGTGCCCAGTTATTATTAACACGTCGTTAGTACAGTTACCATCGACGGGACGAGCAATATCGAAATCTATATATTCCAGTTTGAATTGACATATGGTTGAATTTACTTTCTCAATTCTAATTTTACATATTTTTTCTTTATTATGCGATTGTGGATATCCCGGATTTCTAACATACACGGGACTTTGGCGTATAACGTCTCCACAACTGATCTGGACTAAGATAAAATAGAAAGAGTCAGGATAAAATTAAAATATTTTGGCCTATAATGTATATACTTATTGATTACTTACATATACAACAAACCAGATTCTGATTCTTGCATTGACCAATTGGTGTTCCTCTCCTTCTAACGCATTCGGAAGTATCATAACAGCTGCCTTTCTGACCGTCTGCCGCTACACAAGTCTCACCAATACTCAATATTAAATTATTTTCAAGTTTGTCATCGAAATTGGAATCGTTTGGAGTGTTAAAATAATATGTCGCCGCTAAAACTGGAGAATTTCGATTACGAGAATCTATAATTTATATATTGTGATATTTATTAATAAAGTTAATTAATATGTAAAGTTTAAAACGTATAAATAATTTTTCTTTGTACGCAGACTTACAAGGCGGCATTAAAGGTAGACCTATGTCGAATCCAAATAGATTTCGCTGATCTATATTCAATGACGATATTAAAGAGAACAAAGAGACCAAACGGAAAATTAATGACCACAAACTGATGCGGGACATTCTGTAAGACGCACAGTACAATACATTTATTATGAAACAATATAATAAATGTTTGTAACTTAACCTATAGTAATTGTATAAGTTTATTTCAAGACAAATTAGCTTGCCATTTAATTTATGTACGCGAAAACATTACTATTTAAATTGATTATCAGTTACTTAAACTGAGCAATTTTGTTCAGATTAAGAGTAACAGAAATACCTATATATATAGGTATTTCTGGGTTATTATATAGGTATAATAAAAGATATAATAATTAAAATCAATATATATATATATATATGTTAATTATTATATCTTTTATTTTCAATAAAAATGTACAGTACATTAGGCAATATAAATTGCCGTATATTTAATAGAAACATAGTATCATTAAAAGCAATCAATCAATTTGTGAATTTTTATACAAGAGATGTTGAATGGAAGCTTTAATTCAACTATATAATAACATATAATAAAATTTATAGGGCTTTTCCCGCCATTTGGAAACCTTGGTGAAAATTTAAGAACTTTAAAACTGTTATCAAAAATATTTTATTTGTTTATACATATTTATATCTAAACTCAATTGCAATATTTTTAAAAATAAAATTGATTTTTAATCTCTTAATTAACAAAATTTTATAAGTTAGAATTTAATAATAATCAGATATACTTAATACTTGATATAGACTTACCCGTCTATCAATGGTTGAGGTGTTATCAATAGGAAAGTTAGGCATTCAACTGACCCGCAGGCGAAAAAGAAACCAAAGAAACAATTTCGACCGCCCTCTCGTGGATGACCTGGTCAAACATGACATCAACTGACTCATTGTTGTCTGGATGGAGTACTTCCTGCGCTTCCAATTCATAACAGAGCTACTTTTACACAACTTTACAAAGTTTCGATCAAAATAATCGAGTTCAATTAGTTCGAATTAATATTTACTATTTTTTGTTGATTACCGTTATATTACTATTTATAGTCAAATGCGAACGGATGTCCTGACCACAAAACTGTTCCAAATTTCAGAATTGTGTTTTAAAAAATGTCTGATTACTAACGTTTTCTCATGCGAGTTAGCGATTTAAGATAAAATTACCATAGTTCGGTTCAATATTAAACCAGAAAAATTGCCAAAAAAATGAAAAAATATTCTTTAATAGTTTAAGAATTTTTAATCATTTCTATGTATTCATCTCTATTATAAATATGATTTAATTGTAAATAATTTTAATATTTATTTAAACAGTATATAATATTTTTTTAAAGTAATTTAAACAGATTATCTGATTGTGTATTATATGTGTATTATACAGATATCATCAATGATAATACAGCAAAGCAACGATAATCAATTTTTTAAATATTTTAAGCCTATATTAAATTGATATATTATTATTTAATATTGTTTAGATCCCGTATAGAATGCAAACCGATTTTAATACATAAAGATTAAAAAATAGATATTTTAAAATAAGGATATTCGGGACAAGTCTGGATACAGTTTAAAATTCGTGACATTAAGAGGAAGTTAGTTACTCAATACATCAAAGTAAAGGAAATAAATAATTGGACTCAACCCTTCCTACTAGAAATACGGATAGCCTATATACACACGGTAGCAAATATTTTTAATAATAGAATTTTTATAATAAAAATTTTAAAAAAAAGTCATATTCTGGCGTTTAAAATGAAAACTGTTACTTATTTAAACGTAAATTTTTATTTGTAGGATGAAGACATTAAAATTAAACTTATTTATATACTATATTTATGAATTTTAAACTATTTATGCATCAATATTTATTTGCAGAATAAATTTTTAAAAAATTAATTAAAATAAATTTAATTGAATAAAAGTTATTTTAATAATTTTATTTTTTCATATTCGGATGTGTTTCGAAGTTGTTAATATAAGTCAGGTTATTTATATTAAACTGATTATTTATTAAATTTTTATTTAATATGCTATAGAGCTTTAAGCTTATTTAATTAAAATAAATACGCTTAAAGTTAATTCAATTGCACAATATTATTTTTATTGAGGTTAGAACTTTTTTAAGCCGAGGACTATATTATTTACTTTAGTAATTTTATCAAGACGTGAAACTTACTCGTTATATTGTGTTGTTTATAATGTTAATAAATAAATTGCATTAATATAAAAAAATAATTCAGATCATTTATTCATTATACTCGTTTACGTTCAATAATTTTATAAAAATTTTAAGTTTGTATGAGCATACAGTATATTTATTTATTTTATACATCCCAAACCTAGATCTAATCATAGATTAGAAGAAATATTTATTATTTAAAATTTTCTATACGATTCTAAAAGATACATTACGTTTTAATCTTTGTATTGGTATATTTGATATTGAACTTTTAGATTTTAATAGAAATAACATAAAAAATTTTTAAATCATTTTTTTTTTTTTTGTTTTGGTCGGCCGGGTGGACGAGACAGTTAAGTCCTCTGAAGGATTCGGCCGGTCGAAAAACCTCAGGAATTTTTCGGGGAATCTGTCCCGGATATGTCGGGCCCTTACCCCACCATCTAGTTATCCCATTGTTGGCCCGGCCGAACCAATAATCAAAAGGCCCTTTCAGTGACTACAGGTTGAAAAGAGTTTAAAAAATTAATTAATTAATTAATTAATTAATTTAATAATCTAGAACAATATAATATGCAGGTTTAATTACATATATTTGGATATTTATATGTGTTAATCATTTTTATTTATAGTTTATTAAAACAAAAATTTTCAAGATATATTTATATTAAATTGAATTCAGATTTATATCTTATATCCACATTAAAAGATAAGATAAAAATTTTGTTAGAAGATATAAAACTAGATTTAAAAAAATAAATAAATAAATAAAATAAAATCCCTAGTTAAATGTTTTAAATAATAAGATTAATTTTAGAATATCGCTAATTAAATGTTAAAAAGAATCTTTTAATTACCTTTAGTACACATTTAATGGCTTCTAACATAGTTACTCCTTACATAAACGACACAAAACTATTTTGTATAAAATTATGTATTATTATTTTACAAGTGCATTTAGTCATATCAGCAGAAAAGTATCTTTAAAATTCGAAATTAATTAACAAAATAACTCAAATGCTAATTATGAAACTAGACAAAGATTATACGAAATAAAGAAACTGGAATTAGATAAATTTATTAAATTAGATCATTTATAAGCTATATGTAAACTATTTTCGTCTATGTTTATTTTTCATAATAGTTCAGATTTATTTAAACTCAGCAGGAGATAAAGAACGAAATAACTTCAAATTTTTGAAAATATCGTTACTATTATTATGTTTGTTGTGTAATTAAGTAAAGTGGATGATATCATTGACCTTTTGTAATTCTTAGCTTATTAAAATCAGATTTAGCTGAAGAACCACTCGGTTAAACAGTTGCTCCGAATGATTATTACTATAGTAGAAAGTGACATTACACAATTTCTCGTTCATTAAATAGCAATTGGTTTAGAGAAATTTAATTATTCCAACCGTACCTGTCATTCATTGGAGACGAGAAATCAAGCAACAACCAATAGATGGCCGTAAAAGCAAGCTGTGACCCGAGTGACGTCAACTAGCTGTTTATTTTGTAGCATTTCGGGTTCCCCGTGTTGTGTAATTTATGACATTCATCAGGGCAGTGGGGAGGTGCCATAAAGGCGTTTTAATGAAACGTCTGACTTTTAGTGTGGATGTAGTGTCTGTGTTTGTGGTCAACTTGGTGTGTTATAGCATCAGACTTTGGTGACAATATCCGTCTGCGTCGCTCCATTATTGGCAGGTCGAAAGGAAATTTGTCAGCCTGTTACCGACTAATTGATGACAGAAGGTTCCATAGACCTGATCCCATTTGTTACACATTGATAAAACCTAAAATCATCCTGGAAATTAAAAAAAGCCAACACGTAATAAACATTTTCGTGCAATCTTGGCGCAAAGATATATTACCGTCCGATAATAGTTAAATGCAGCGATTTTCTTTCGATACGTTTTAGTTAGACTTTATCTAAGACGATATTAAGTTTGATCAGAGAATTTCCGTTGGCATCTATGCGGTAGCAGATTGACTATGTATACAAAGACTAAAGATAGACTAACTCGATTACACGGAGAAATAACGGACAATCATATCTGCAGACTTTGTTCTACCCGCGAGCCAAACGGGGGGGTCAGGTGTCATTGATTATACAAGCATTCGCTATTATTTCTGCCTTGTTTCTAACAAAAATGCATTTATTATGAAAACGATTCTTCGGTAATTTAACTTCCAAACAGTTTAATTAATGGTCTAAGGAGAACAGATGGTTATCGGTTAGTGTAAAAAAAAGCTTTACCCGCATAAAATTAAACTGTCCCGTAGATAGTAACGTAGATACTGTTATCTCTTGGCGTTTCATATATCTAAAGAAAGGAAAACATGGACGGCTACTTCGTTCAGAACATCAGTTATGGCAATGATTGGTAATTAGGAATTTCTAAAAACTATATTCCAATTTCATTTTATAACAAATTAATTAAAATTGAAGAATTTTAATTAATAATATTGTAATTTATTAATATTCTAAGTGATTTTCTTAGAAAAATCTAGAGCATTTAGTTATTCTTAATTTATATTTGTTAATTCATTATTTAGAGTTATTGATTATATTATTTAAACAATAGTTTTTAGATTCTTCAGATTTTAGACGACTCGCTAAAGCGTTGTAATTTGGATTATAGCCGTAGGTTAATGAGAAAACAATAACTGTTAACCACACAGATTGGTTATAGCCAGAGATGATAATATCGAATCTTGCGAAGAAAAAGTTTCTACTTTGAGATTTTAGTAGTAAAATCTTAAAGAAATATTTGTTACTAATAAAAAGGTTATAGATTCTACTTAATACATTCGATTTCCATTTCTTCAAACGAGATTAAGAAAATAATTAAAAATTAATTAGATATTATTTATGTTTTAACGCTTAAATTCCATTAATTCAGGATTTCTTCTGATTCGTCTAACCTAACCTAACCCGAGTTAAATGACATTTTGTTTTAAACCTTGTTTAATAAATCTGTATTTCATTGTAAACAATACAGTAATTGAAATTAGCAAATTTTCAAAAGCGTATTATTTTTTATATTATGTAGCTATATTTTTCATCTATTCATCTTTACAAAATTAAAGCAATGAGGACAAATAACATAAGAACTACATACATTTAATTATTAGAAAGTAAGTCACTTTTATTTAATTTTATATTCTAGATTTATTTAAAAAAACAATTGCAGACCCTTTTTAATTTCCCAGATAAGCAAGGAACTTAAATAATCACTGTTTACATTTTTATTCTAGATAATCGTTTGCTTCCATTTAATATTTCTAACCAAGAATAACTGAAAATATGACTAGGGTTTATATTTTACGTTTATTTTTATTCATAGCCATTAATTACCTAATTAAAGGCATTCGGATGTACCTATCGAATACCGATGTTTTTAAAATGCCTAAAATTTAAGTGGGTGTAAATAAGGTGTTAAATATGGAAGCAATTTACAGGAAACGCCTCGATGAGTAAATCTAGTAAAAGTTCAACCCATCACATCCACTTCATCAGATGAAATGTCAAACTTCAAAGCAGACGATCCACTCAACGCAATTCCACTTGACCTACAGTTTGCAAAACCTAAATCTCAGATACAACTTTAAGTGGAGAGATTTCCCCAACTCCACCTTCGAGCTGTTGTCTCGTCCAATCAAACGAGGGCGGCTCCACCCTCTCCTTGATTCGTCTACCGAACCGCATGCGTCCGCGATCTTTCACCAAAGTGGGTCATGTTGGGTTCGAATTGGTTTGAATCACAGGCGTAATGAAGGGCGCGAGTTTCAGTGTAAGAGCCATTTTAGACTTACCAGACGTTTCTTCTGATTGCAGCACCCTCGAAAGCACTATACAAGAACATGTTTCTACTTATCAGCCAATTTATTACAATCCACTTACTTGCGAACCGACTTTTAACATGAGGTGGAATTCCTCCGATGCTTCCCCAACCGTATATCCTTCGTTTGGTAAGTTTTCGATTTAACTGTCTTATTATTTAATGTAATGTAATTTATAAAATATTTTTATTACGAATCGACTGCAAAATCAAGATTCTTTATGAATTGGGCAATCTATATTAAACGTAAGAGATATGACAATTGGGTTTTTAAATATTTTAATAGAAATTTACCATTAACAGGATCTTTAATATTCAGTGCTTTAATGTTATTTACCATGATGCTTAAGTATGTTATTACGTAGGCCTGTCGCTAAAATCATAAGTAACCCAAATGAAACTCGTGAAACCCGCGTTACTGACTTACGTAATTTCTCCTCAATATCGTTATTGTCCTATTTGTTTAGGTCAAGTAACAACGGATAATCCGGAATCATCTCTTCTGACCCCAGAACTGACCCTACCACCAATCCCTCCTAACTGTCATCTTCCGGACCACGATAGCTTCACATCCGACGATTTAGTACCAATGTCATCTGGCATTCAACTATCAAATCACGAAGACAGCGAACACTCTCTAGATGTAGATACAGGAGAGAAGCCAGTTGAATCGCCGACAACAATAAGAACAACCACATCGGATCAACCTCAGAAAAAACGCAAACGACGAGTTTTATTTTCGAAAGCTCAGACTTACGAGCTCGAAAGGCGTTTCCGTCAACAGCGTTACTTATCGGCTCCGGAGAGAGAACACCTTGCTAGTATTATCCGTCTAACGCCAACACAAGTAAAGATCTGGTTTCAAAATCATCGCTATAAAACCAAACGAGCAAGACAGGAGAAAGGAGTCGATTTAAATCCACTTCCTTCTCCTCGAAGAGTAGCGGTCCCCGTTTTAGTTAAAGATGGAAAACCTTGTATAGGAAACACTATTAAATCTCCCGACGGTGTTAATGACGCGTCGACTTGTGTAGCCGCAAACTGTATGACTAACTTCAATTTGGGTGTCCTGCCGACCACCTACAGTCCTACCCTGTTACCTCAACATCGATGGTGGTGACAATATAGACCAGAACTGTCCAGTGTGTGCCTTAGCCTACGGGATCCCCATTCCCTGTCGATAGTATCAGGTGCGGGAGTTTGTGGTGAATGTATTCATAGTGATCAATAGCACTGACATTTGACAAATGATTGCCTGATGGCATTGTCGCACTTAAGTGACAATGTTAACATTGCTCTCTTTGTCTTGTTTTTAGTTGTTTTTCTTCTGTGTAGAGTTAATAGTGTATATATATTAATAACTATGTAGATTAATAGAATAAACGTCTTTTAGTCAATATCATATGGAACGTCCGATCATTGCCACTCCAGACACGTGCTGATCAGTAACGAGTTTGTCCATGGGCCTATGGTCAGATCTGATTGACCAACTTTCTTAATTGTCTACATCGATACAACTTTGTTATAGCTAAATCTTTTGTTGAATAAGAAATAACGTGGACAAATTGATAATAAACTAAGTTGCCAATAGCATATTAATGGAGTAAAATCAAACTGTTTAAGTTAAACTAAATACAGTATTATAAATTTTATCCCGGTTTATAAATCTGCAACCATATAATAAATAATTTAAGAGAAATTTCACAGTTGAAAGAACTTTAATAAAGGAATTCCCCATACTAATTTATAGCAAGCATGGACTAAATCATTTAAATGTAGCGTATCGATTTTTCTAAATACTTGATTAGAGACGTTTCGATAAATCTAGGATGTCGACATGTTTAACAACTTTATTACCTTTAATAAATGTGCGCCACTTATATGAGCATGATCTCGTTTACTAGTAGGAGTGCTCTCATCGCATTGTCTGATAGATTCCATTACATGATAGACATTTCCTGTACATTAAACATTTCCGTGTCTGATAGATGGGCGCACAAATCACTTCGTAACTGTAGAAAGTCTTGTAAATCTATCGTCCCAGACAAGTAGATGGGACGAAGAGGTGTGCACAATCTACTGAGTGGATAGAGAAGAAGGCCGCTTTAAACAGATTACAGCACTTAATAAGTCTCAAATTAACTTAAATTAATCTAAAATTAAACAAAATTTATTTTTAGTAAAATCTGAAATTATTATAAATCGTCTATATTTTGTCAATTAATTATTATACATTTATTTTACAACACAGACTAACACAAATTATTAATTTATCAATATTTTATTGATTTAAAAGGAATGGATTCAAATACTCGAAGATGATTTAGAAAGTAAATATACAAATATGAAAATGTAGCTAGAAATAGACCTAAAAGTTTTAATTTCTTATTAGATGTTTATCGTGGATTTTAGAGAAATAGTCAGATCCTATAAATTTCAAGTTGCAATTCAAATTTTAAATTAGAAGTACTGTACATAATGCTTTCATCTTAATAATCCAAAGCTATAGATCAGTTTTTTGAGCCTAAAGTAGACCCCACCATCATCCGCATCATGAACAATATGGCCACAGGATGTGGAATACAGGAAACACGGACTTAGTTCCGATTCCGTGGTCGATTCTATCCCTAAGATACGAATCTGGAACCTTACAATAGACAGAAGCTATTGTCATGGTGTATAAGTCAGGACGGGATAGTGAATTCGACCGTGATAATCTCATTTGTTTCATAACTCCTTTGAATGAATAATCAGTTTCGTTTACACATGGATAATAATCAATAAGTAATAAGAATGAAACCAAAAAACTTTCCAACAGAATAATTTTATTTGTAAGACGTAAGAAAAAATATTATCCGACTTCCCGTATCAATAGTTAAATGTAAATATTTTAGAAAGTAAAGCAACTTTTACTTTTTACTCGACTAATTCGTGTTACTTGTTAGTCACAATCAAGTTGTGTAACGATAAATTTTTTTATAACATAAGTTAGAAGAAATGGATTACAGTTAAGACATAACTATATTGAAACATATAAAAATTTACCATTATTAAATAACTCGATAAAAGTTCAGGCTTTATCAATAATCTGCAACGATTTCATTTGTTTTAATGTTGAAATTCCTCACACCAAATAGGCCCTTCGTAGACTTAAACCTATCACAAAAAATGTATAAGATCTGTGGATTTATAGCTTAAAATCTTCTATTCGTTAATAATTTTAATAGTAAACGTATATAATCGATGGTAGATTTAAATCATAAAATATAAATTATGAATATATCTTGTAATCTTAGATTCACTTTAAAAAAATAAATCTCCATTTTAAAATTACAGATGTAAACATGTTGGTTTTTATAAGCTAAAAATTACATTAATTAAAAAAATATTAAATTTTTCTTGTTCTTATTTCCTAATATATACGTAACGTTTCTCGTAATTACATCTCAAATATTTAACAGGAAAATATTTGATCATATTAACATAGTAATTTCTGTTAAATAGGCAATCTTAACAAAATGCCAGGCAATAATGCTTTAGTTAATTGGCCTTTTAATTCAGTTAATTTACTTTTCAAAAATAAATTTAAATGTAGACTTAAATATTATAATCTATGTATTTAAAAATATCAAAAATTATTATTTTAAATATATTTTTATTTGGTTTTTTAAGTAGTGTCTCTCTCGATTATCAGATTAATTAAGAAAGATCTAACTTATTGTTAGAAATAATTAAATTTTTTATTAAATTTATATTAATCTTTATTACTTCTTTTTATTTAAAAGGATCTTCCTTTCACGAAGATACAGTTGGTATGTAATTTAATTTAGTAGGCCTATTCTGAAAGTCACTATTTTTTCAAACTAGGGAAGGTTAAATAATCAACTAGAGACTTCAGACGTCAAACTGTGATCTTCCATTATTGAAATTACTACGAATTTTCAATCAATTTAAAATGTTTCTATGGGAAAAAAATATCATATAGAGGTTTAAAAATTCAAAATTATTATTGTTAATAATATTAATTTACAGTTAATTAATTGGAATTGACTTCTAAAATAAATATGCTTAGCAAATTTTACAAAATTTCAAGTAAACTTAGCATACAGTTAAATAATAAAATTATGGTATTGTGATTCATAAACTATGAGCAATTTATAATTTTCTATGGCGTTTGATGATTATTTTTCAAAACTTAATGCTGTATATGTGAGAAGTTAGCCATGCGATCGCCAGTAAAAAGACCATTCCATTTTTAAAACGGGATGACATTTGTATTAAAAATTGAATNAAATTTAACATATGATAGAGTGAGATTTTATTCTTTGTTTAAAAGCTTACTTTAAACCCTTTACTTCATATTTTTTTTTTAATAAAATCAAGGTGTAATGTTTAGATAAAAAGCATATCAAGCATATTATACTTTATGAGTTTGAAAAAGGATTGGCAAATAGTAAAAAAAAAAGTTGTAATGTGTATGAGGAAGATGGTCCTAAACTTCCAACATACCAAATGTCATATAAAAAATTCCATTTGGAAAATTTTGAACTAAAGGATACAAAACAGAGGGCACACAAAAACTGTCAACAAAGAAAAATTGCAGAAGAAATTGTTAAAAATCAATAAATAACATACAATACAGTGTATTTAACTTATCATAAAAAATGCTTTGTGTTTTTATTACACATGCCTTTAATTAATGACAATTTATAGCGATTAAAGATGAATATCCGGAACCCTAAATTAACGTTAAACATGCATCGATTTTTTTTTTCTCTTTTGCTTTCTGTATCGGTTGATCAGAGCTCTCCTTGGATTTTACTGTTCTGGAATTCTCGAAACGGATGAAGATAAAAAAACAAAGGAAAAAGTCTCTTCGCACTCCGTCTGGAGAGGTTCGTTAGAGCATGATGTCTGACATTTGTCCATCCGGGTCGATGATTGAGTTTGACTAGGTCAAAGATGGACCGTGTCCACTGCGAATGTCACATAATTGAATCGTTGCCGTCTGTATCGAATTTCAATGGAGGTAGACGTAATCAAACTTGAGGTCTCGTGATTTGGTCAGGAGTGAAAAGGGTTAATCATGTGTGAAATGTTTGATTCGACCTTCGTTAAGATCTCCAACCTTACTGAATGAAAAATCATCTCCTTTAACCGTTGCTGAATTATAATTTTTTGGGGCAGTTAGCTGACGTTGGGTTCTATATGTGACTGGGTATCACTTTCATGCCGAATTAACCCGTGTCATACATCCGGTTAATCGACGCCCGCAGGAGTAACAACTTGCTGAGAACAATCAATTTGACAAACGACTACAAAGGTTATTAAATGCCTAACACTTCCCTTGCGGGAGTTACGAGAACTACTTGTCCGTTTCAACTACTAATCCGTTACAATTACCCGTTCTTTACGAGTGTCCGGTGTGCTTTACTAAGGTATATGTGATAACCCTGTGTGCCTGACTTTGTTTTTATGTCTCTCTCTATTTTCACCCTAATTAAATTTCGTAGCAAAATTGATCCATTAACAAGTCGTAAATTCTTAAGTATTTACATTGTAGAAAGCTGTTACAAGAGTACTTTTGTTGGCATTCTTACTGATAATGAGACCATTTTTCATTTTTTTTCCTAGGTAAAGAATTTGGCCGTTTTTAGATTCTTCAGATTTTAGACGACTCGCTAAAGCGTTGTAATTTGGATTATAGCCGTAGGTTAATGAGAAAACAATAACTGTTAACCACACAGATTGGTTATAGCCAGAGATGATAATATCGAATCTTGCGAAGAAAAAGTTTCTACTTTGAGATTTTAGTAGTAAAATCTTAAAGAAACATTTGTTACTAGTAGCAAATGTTCATTTATATACTTTCACTTTTCAATTTTTTTAATGATCATTGCTTTGTTATCTATTTATGAACAAATATTAAAAAAAATTTGTAAAATATATTATGCTATACATAACTAATAAATTCTCTAATATTAATTATAAACTTACTTTGGGATATGTAATTTATACGTTTTAAAAGTTTCCTATTTCTTAAAATATAACTAAAAAGAGTTTCCTTTACAGATAAATTAATTCAATAAAAAAAAATTAAATATTTTACAATTGGTAAATATAAATGTGAAAATTCTAAATAGAATCTTCACATTTCTGTCTCAGTATTACAGTTTTGGAGATGTTTCTAATCATTATAGTTTAAAATAAACTTGTGGTAAATTGTATTTTAGTAAGGCATTTAATTAATTTTCCGCTGTTAAATAAAATCACTGGTCGACCTTCTTCCCTTCGCTTAAAATTCAAAAAACGTCGCGACACTCAGACGACGACAAAATGCGATTTCAGTCGCCATATCGCTTGTGTTATGTGCGCTTAAATTCGCCGGCATTTCTGGTTTGCATCTAACATAAGTGAAGTGCATTAAGCTCTCTTAAAGAAAACCATTTACATAAGAGCGGAGAATACATCATCCGACTTTAAATCGAAAACTCAATAAGACGTGACGAAATTGTTACGATCTCGTGACCCTCTATTGTCGGGAATCAACTGACGCCGAAACAGATTTGTAAAAGGCATGACGTCACTGGCAATTAGATAGTTTTATGAGGTCCCGCTGTCCGGTTTTAGTAAATTCAGGAGCAAATGCGTGTGTGGAAATTTCCGAATTTCAGAATTGACAGGACTCATCTGTTCCCCAGACGATGAGACGTGACCGTTGTTGAGACCCCGCTGGACAGATTTGAGTTGACGTTTTGTCATCGAATGATTGTTCCGAGTTTCTAACTTGTTGGACTCTACTGGGAACAAATTTATAAATGACGCATTACAATGGCTTTTTCTGTATTCAGCACAACAAAAAGGAAAAATGTTTTTATATTAGCTGAAGGAGGGGAAAAAATAGACCTATGCGGAAGCCGAATCAGCTTAGAAGTCTTTTCGTTAAATATTTAAAACCGTATAATTGTTTTGAATATTTAAATAATGATAAAACAAATGCGCTTTTCAATATGTAAAGTCGACTTTCCTGCAATGGTTGTGTGAATTATTGAAAGTTCGCTTTACAGTATATGAGCTGAGGAGTTTGTAAAGTGATATTACCTGTTCGGATGCGATTTATAAAGAAAAGCGAATGTGTGAAATAGTTTATATCTCGGATAGGAAACACTTTACAGTTTTTAGCGCGAGATAAATGCGAAAATTTATCACATTTCGATTTTCTTTCTTAAAAATTTTTTAACGTCTACCTGGTCAATCGTTCTTTTTTCATAAAAAAGGATAAAAATATTTTCGCTTGAAAGAAATAAAATAGATGGCGTTTGCATCGACAGTTTGACGTCATCTCCTTGCCTCTATTGAAGCCGCAAAATCGGCTAGCCCGAGGCACACAACTGTTCAGGAAATCACTTGCACATAATCGAGTTGATAGAGAGTGGCTGAACACAATTCTTTTTTCTAGATTGATCATTCTTAGAAGCGAAAAAGGGACCGTCTCATTCACAAACCCCGTTATAAATGACGCGCGGTTTCGTCTCTCATCCGGCAGACCATAAAAAGCAACCAACACCGCTGCCTCCTGGTGATGGAAATCTGTTAATGCTCTGACGTTAGATTTTTTATATTTTACAACAAGACGATTCGACGTAAGAGTCGTTTTAATTAAAATCACTTACGATTTATTAATAATACGAAATCATAATTAAAAAAACACACACACAAAACGCTAAATTACTACTTTTTAAACGCTAAATGAAAAGTAAAGTAATGACAAAAAAACGTTAACCAATTTGGATTACAAGAGACGATTACAAGAGACACCGTTGAATGGGTGATATAACTTGGGTAACGATTCCTCGTAGAAGTTTATATTCATCTGCGACGACACCATTTGACGAATTGTTGTCTGTCTTTCTCTTCTTTGCCTAGCTCTTCTGTTCTGGAACCAAATCTTCACCTAAAAAACAAACAAATAAAAGAAATACACTCTTATAACCGCTTAACATTTCGGTTTATTCGTCCCAAAAAAAAAAAAAAAAAAAAGGTTTATGTCTTTCGAATCCGACGTTCACCCGAGTTCGAGAAGTGTTACGTCCTAAAAAAAAATAGTTGATGGAATTTATTAACTTCTCAAAAATCGAAAGACCCTTTTCAAACAGAAAATGTCACCTGATAGAAACAAGAGAAAAACGAAAACGCCTATTGTGCAGAGACGATCAAATTCCGTCTAAAACGACGCGTAACTTGCTTGGAAGTGACAGACATGTCTTCATTAGATAGTTTCAGATTACGTCTTACAGTTAACTTCGTCACTTCTTTAAGACTCTATTCGAAGGATCAGAATATACCCGCCAGCGGTATTTGGTTGATCTCATCGAGATAGACAACCACACCAACCGAAGCAATGGGATCGAATGACTACTTATAAAGATATTTCTTAATCGCATCATCAACTATGTCTAGGTAACCATTGCAGTGTTTATGTATGTAATAGTATTTTTATTTTTAAATATATTTTAAAACATAAGTAATATATAATAATCTCAAACATTTTTATCTTCCAAACTTTAATTTTCGAATCAATTAAATTAAATAAATGTTTACTATTTTATCCAAATTAAATTACGCAAAAATACTAAACGTATAGTTAAATATAGCTTGAATTTTTAAAATTTTTATATATTTAATTCTAATCCTTTTCTAAGTTTTTAGACCAACGAAAATCATTCTAAATAAACTTTAATTTTAAACTTATATATAGCCTATAAGTTAATTTTAGTTATAAATGTGTTTTCACATTACATTTCACATCAAAAATCTCCGAAATTAATATAAAAGAAGTAAAGAATTGAGGCTACAGGAAAAATTTAATTAAATTAATAAGAATATAAGTCATCTTTAGTATCTAAATCCTTTGTTACTGAGACAGTAGGAAAATTCACTTGAAATGTTTCAAACTCAGCATTTTAAAGTTTAACTATTAAACTGACGCTTAACAGAAAAGTATTTCTAAAATTAAATAATAGTTATGATAAATAAATAGTAAAAATTTTTATATTTTTAAAAAAAATTTATCAATAAATCGTATTTAATTATTTGAAATTTCTTGTTAGTACATAGGTTATGTCTTGTTGAAAATTACGGAACAAAGAATCTAGAATCGAGTCAACAAAAAGTCTTTGTTGATGTCTCAATGAAGATCACAGATGGTTGGATCCAGGTATATCAGCCTGACGTAACCTAACCTGATCGCTTTGATGAACCATCGGCCAGACAATGACAAAATGGTTCAACGAGCAATATTCATATAAATGAAGTTTTGTAGGTCACGTGCCTTTTGAGACAGGACCACAACGGAAAAGGTTTTTTCTTCCTTACAAAAAATATTCTTTTAAGAACTTCAAAAAGTGAAGATAAAATTATTTTACCCGAATTTCCGATATTCCCAAAAGATGACCGAGTTCTGTCACTTCGTAACTGCTTAAGTACTGTGTTAATCGGAATTTTTCTTCGAGAGCGGCTACTTGGTGACTGGAGAATGGTATTCTGGCACTTCTTCCCAAATGGCGCCTCTTGTATATTTCTTTCTTCCCTAATAAATACAAATTTGATTTTTATAGTAGACGATAACAAATGATAAAAAGTATCGAAATTTTAATGTACGTTTCAAATTTTATTCCATTAGAATAGAAGAGTTTGGTAGTTTTATTACTCCCTAACAACTCAAGATCTTTGTATAAGTTTGTAATTTGGATGGCATATTATATATGTCTTTTTCATACATCCGATTCAGTAAGAATGAAAATAAATATTATGAAAAAATTAGAAAATAATAACTTATACGAATTATAGAATTTGTATATATTTTATAATTACAAAAAATATGATACAAGCCTAATATTGCTGCTCTGAATCGATAGGATTTAGTTTAAATTTAATTTGAAGATTTAAGAGATTTTACAGTTATGAAATTTAAAGCAAAATTTATTAAGGATGCACTTCATTAATGAATTGGTATAGCATTAATATTTATAATCATTTTCATTTTTTCTAACTAATTTTGAAATATCAATAATATTTTATTTAAATACAATTTAAAATCCATAAATTATATTTGTTCGAAGTGCAAGAACTTATTTATTATAAATGAAATGTTCAATTAGAAAATTTTAGGCTTCCGATACCAAATTCATTTCTCCATTCGAGCTCTTATCATAACAACAATTTAATACAAGAAACTTTTAAACGAGATCTATACTTACTTGGTAATTTTGGTGGCTTATATCTTGAACATTTCAACCAAGCAAAACGAGAATCAAGTTCTTCAGAAGGTCCAACCTGATTATCGATCTTTTCGGACTCTGATTTTAGTATAGCATCGATAGAAAAATCAGTAAGTTTCTTAATTGACCCAGTTTGGTCATTGATTTTTGGCAAGTTGGACTCTTTAGCAGTCATGTTAAACGGACAGCCGTGGTTAAACTGAAGCCACAGACTCGGATATCTTGCTGTACCTGGTGTTCAATGGAGCGAGTTTAATCTAAACTGGCACCATGAACAGTCCCTTCTTGGGTCGCGTGGGTACTTTTGGATAAACCGCTTAAGAGACTGATTAGCTTCGGGGTAACGATTATGATCTTTTGTAAGATTTATCGAATTGTTAAATAATACAGCGAATCTATGCATAATCGGAAAATATCGGATTAATACGATATTTAATACGATACTGGTTAGTATTTAAGAACAAATGTTATTTACGTTTTATAAGTATTAAATCGGAGTAACGCATCTCCATTCTTCGTCATTTAAAGTTAATTTAAGAAATTTAATTTTTGATAAAGTCTATTGACAAGACAAAATATGTGATTATTATTAAATCAATAACAACAAACTTCAAAAACTATGTTAAAAAGAATAAATCACAAATTTATTTTGAAATAAAACATTGACCAAAACAACCATTTTCAAATTAATAAAAATAACAGCGAAATAAATGTTAAATAAGCGACATTGAATACTTTTAGTTTAATTCTTCGGGATCACTGTTTGTACAAGAACTTTGATAACTACTGCGCCTAGAATTTGATGTTTCCGATAAACTAGTTATAGAACTGCATCGACGACGACATTTCTCCACCATACAAAGACGAAGAGGGTCGCAAGAATCATCGTAATCTGCAAGAACATTATCATCGACCACAATTATTTTAGGAAGTTTATTTATATTCTCGTCCATTACATCGGCATCTTCAAAACAATCTTCGCTTCCAATTGTTTCGTACATGTTTTCATTTTCCTCCTTACATAATGCAATTATTTTCTTTTCTTCAATAGGATCACTTCTTTCTTCGCTGCTAGTCAGTTGACACATTTTTAATGGCTTAATACTTCGACGAGGTCGCCGAATAACATCGCTTCTTCTATAGATCCATTTATGGGAGGTGACTGAAGATTTCCTTGATTTTAAATGTCTTATATTCCATTTTAATCTAGTTATCAGTTGCTGCGCTTCTTTTACTTCTTTTTCCTTTGAAAAAATCTGATAGAGAAGACGTATCACATACTACACATTGACATGCTTTTTAATATAGCATGTTGTGAACTTAAAACAACATATTATTCAAATTACAACTAAGTATTAAGTCAACTTTACAATCAACGGCTTTAGCAGAATTTAATTTAGATGCATTTAGTTTTAATGTGAAAATAAAACCAGATTTTAAAAAATTAAAAATGTTTTCATTTGTGTTAAATCAAAATATAAATATTAAGAATTATGAATAGATTTAATAAAAAATGAAATTAAAAAAAATGTGTAGTATATTTTATCATTAATAATTACAAATTCGTAGTAAATTTGAATAATAATTTAACTAATTATTAAATTTTAAAAGAAGTAAAACGTTTTGATCTTATTAAAAATGTTAAATGATCTTATTAATTAATGTTTTAATTTAATTTTTTAAATAAAAAGCTAACTTAGATTTAATGATTTTTACCTTTTCGTTTAATTCGTTTAATCTTTGACCGGTAACCTAAAAATTAATCGGCGTTATTATTATAAAAATTCGTTAATTTAACAAAATAATCCACCATTTTATAAATTTAATTACCATTACTTGAAATTGTTTTAATTCATCTAATACAGCTCGAAGTTCAATAATCTCTTTTTCTAAACACACAAAAAGTTTTTTTAAATGAAAATCTCTTAGTAACTTTAAATATATAAATCTAATTTATTTTTCTGAAAATAAAATTTAAATTTCCATTTGTTAGATTCCTACTAAATAAAAATAAATATTTTGAATGTTTGGCTTAATATTTATACTCTATAATTATGTAAATCTGTTATTTACATATAAATAACTTTTTCTTTTTTTACTTTTATCGTCTCTATACATTCTTCCGTTAAATTTCTCTGTTTCTTCGCTCGATTCCATAAATGCATCTACACTAAATGTTCTTTTGGCTTGCATATTTGTTTTAATCCTTCATAAAAAAAACAACATATTTAATTATATAGGCCTATAACAAATATCATTGTTACAAGTAAATGAAATTTTAACCTTTCTCTAGCTTGCAATTCTAAAATAGTTTTGGCCTCTGGATATTCAACGAGAGCCTGAAAATAATTATCTTTTAAAATTAACACGTAACTAAATAACGTAACAAGGACGTGGATAAAATACTTTACAGCCATCAAATCTTTCCTAGAAAGACATAGAAGTTCTGAATAACCAACAGATCTGACATCAGCAGTCCTCCTGTAAGTAAAGATAAATAAATAATAGTTTTAAAAGTTCAAAATTTATTATTTTACTCACCGATTCTGCACTCCTTCTATCCGAAGTAGACTAATTTCACCAAAATAATTTCCTTCTGAAAGAAGAGCCACTACCACTTCTTCTCCAGAGGAAGTATTGGCAACCACAACCTAACAGGAAGGGGGGAGAAAAATGGAAAAACTTCTTCAAGTAGTTATTTTAAAAGTTTTACGTCTTAGAAGTGTTTTTAAAAAAATTTAATTAAAAACAATAAATTTAAGAAATAACTGGTACTAACTTCAACTTTTCCGTGATTGATGATGTACATTTCCCTACCTTAAAGTAAATATATATTATAATTAAATATATTTCAGCAATAAAGTATATTAAAATGATTTATGCTATTTAGCCCAAGTTAAAAACATATATAAAAAAGTTTTATATTCGTAACAAAAATTTAGGACGAAACTTTTAATTTGAATTGTTTCTAAAAGAAAAAGTTCTCGCACATACATAAAAAATGTACCTGTTTCTCCAGCCTTACAGATGTAATCTCCCGGAGAATAAATTTGAGACTTTAACTTCAGAACAAGTTCACAAAGAAAACCATGTTCACATTGTTCAAAAATTTTCACCTTTAGGAAAAAATTAAAAAATATATATATAATAAAATATATGGAAAAGTAAACATTCTATTATTGAGGGTAGAAAAGATCACCTTTCTCAAAGTATCCAAATGAACGTGAACTGCTATTTCAGCTCTTAATCTTTCTGGCAACATATGCAATAAACGTGATTCATCCGTAGCCTGAGTTCTAAAATTACAGCAAATATTACATTTCGATTATATTGATTAAATACAAATCGATTTGAAATTATAACATTGATTAACCTTGACCAGGAATATTCTGCCCATTTCTTAACTTTAATTTGAAGAGAGGGAGGAACTTTCTTATGAGTTAAGTAAATTTTAATTTGGTCCATCCTATTTTTAAAAAAAAAATTATCAATATCTTAAATTCATTATTATTTATAAATATACAAGGGAATTTTTATTAGCAAATCATATTTTCTTTGTCATATTTACTACTAAAAAGATGCATTCGTAAGAGATGACATCGAACTCTTAAGCGTTAAGCAGTAGAGAATCCAGAAGAATCTGGATTCTCTACTGCTTATCCAAAGGGAAATAACTCAAAAATTAAAAAAATATTTTAATAATTAATAAGGTCCTTTCATTTATTCGTGCACGTTTAAAGTGACGCAATTTGTGACACGGTTAAAGTGACGAGTTAAAAAGTTTAAAGTGAAAAGATTTATTAGTATGAATAGTAAAAAAAAACTAATTATATGGAGTATTTATAAATCTATTATCTGAAAGGAATGCCAAATACGAACGACGAATTTATATAAAATAAAACCGCGGGAAAATTAGAAACACGTTATTGTATAATTAGTTTTAAATGAAAATCTGCGTACTTAGCCTGGAATTCTTGCCTAGTAGCGTTAATATTTGCTATAACATCACCCACATTCCCAACAACAGTGGCAAAAATGAAAACACCGATTAAAAAAGTTAATCCAGTGAAAATATATTCCTAAAATAATAAAAATATATTAATAGAATTAAAATATTTCATGAAATATTTATAAGCCTGTATGACTGGAAGTATGCTTTCTTACAATATCTGTTTCCGGAGGATTACTTTCACCTATAGTTGTAAGAGTCATAGCCGACCAATACATACATACAATGTATTTTCTTTGTAAAAAAAAGCAGGGAAAGTTAGTAAGTTATATGACAAAATACTATAAAACAGAACATTTACCTCCAAAATCTTTGTTTATCAGCGAGATTTGTATAGACCCAGTTATTAATACCTAAACCTTCGTACTATAAGAATAAAAGTTGTAAGGTAAAAAATACAAAAACTGTTTCAACTTTTTACAACTTACCTCCGATATTATATAATATAAGCAGCCAATCCAATGTATGACGATGACTAAAGTTAAAGATAATCTAAAAGCTCGAAGACAATTGGGATTACTGGTTCGACTGGTTCAAGAAGTCAAGTAAAATCAAATATTTAATTTATAAATAAGATTATAAAGGAATTAATTTCTACATTACCTATCGGCCAAATCGTAGAATTTGTATAAAGTATGTAATTTCAATAACCTGTTAAAACGGGCTGAAAAAGTTAAAAACGCTTAACGCCATCTGCTTTCGGAAAATATTACTAAAAATGTTTTCAAATAAATAAATGCTCACTCATATCTATCTTAGAATAGACGACGAATATCGGAAAAACATTAAATCCTATAATAAAATAAAGAAATTGCTTATTTATAACCTTTATATGTTCAAAAAACATAATATTCAAACCTGAAAAAATCCTCGAAAGTGTATAAAAAGGCATAATCGCCATCACATCACGAATAAATACGTTTTGACTCATATAGTGTTGTCTTAATTTTACCACATCAAAAATCTAAAATAAATACGCAAGAAATTATAATAATAATAATAATGCTGACGTTTTCATCTTCTATAAAAATCTATTTTCTCACAGGAATTCCATCCATCAGGTATCCTGTTCTTAATTGAAAAGCAATGTCACTTAAGTAGATGACGTCGCAGACGGCATCTATATATCCTACAATTTCCTGAAAGAAGGGAAAAAGTATACAAGTAAAAATGTAAATATTAAGATACGTAGTCATAACAACAGATTCGTTTACATACAGTCTTCGAAAATATAACTCACTTGTTGACTGACATCCTGAAAAGCTACTCGAAGAATAATAATCCAGTAGTTGTATAAAACCGCTAAGGATGTCAAACACTAAAATATATTGTAAATTGAAATTAAATTCAAGACTATTACATACGATGTATAAAATACATTTATACGTACAGTCCAATAAAATACGGTACATCCATCTGGATCGAAAACAAATTTTGGTAATTGGTGAGACTTCTGAAAGAAGGATTTCTATGCTTTAATTTCGATTGCTTGTCGATTAATTCTCTGCAATACATCTCACCTTATTCGCCATGGATATCTGATGATAAAATCGAGCACGAGAAACGGACGAAGCATTTTCTGACGCTCTTCTCGATTTTAAATCTAAACTGAACAATTCATATTTTGAGTATCTCATAATTCAAATTACAGTCCATGTAAAATTCGAAAAAGAATACTTACTTCTTATCGCCGTTCTCCAAAATAGGAGGCAAGCGATTACTCTGTGATAATTCAAAAATTAAATTACTAAGAATCATCTTAATTACTATTTGCTAAGTTAAAATGATCCGATGTTTAAAATGAATCTCCAAAATTTCACTCACTTGTTCGTTATTTAATTCTATGACGTCATGGCCCGGATTTTTGCATCTGAACTCGGAGAAAGAAGCTCTTCTAGGTCTTTGGACGCAATTCGATGCAAATAAATCATCATCCTCTATACGAGGGAGACGAACCAACTTCTTACAGTTTCTGATTGGTTGACTTCTGTCTTCCATTGCAACGTCTACTTAACAAACAGAACACATTGAGAACCGTGTTGACTTACTTTTCATTCGATAAATATTTTTCTTTCAGATGTAGTTAAACAATATTTCACACGTATTAATTCGAAACTAAACGTAAATATTATTTTCTTTCAAATCGGTTAACAAAGATGGAAGTGAAAACCGGAAAGGCACGTTTCCGCAATGATTAAACTATTATAAATTAACAAAAAAAATGGTTATTACCTGTGTTGTTTGACTTGTTCTCAAAATTACAGATGATAAAATTAAATATTTGATAGAAAAATCTCTACTAAGATCCGGTTAATGGAAAATAGAAGCGAAGACAGTTTTCATACCTTTCCGATTTTAATAAAGAATGACGTGACATGACGAGTAGAGTTTAAAGCAAATATGGTTTAGTATCTAATTACGTAAATAGAGATAAACTTATTGAAAAAATTACATCTTTATAAACTTACCATGTCTTAATTTTCCGGTGACAGTGACGTTCGACTGACATTCTCTTCGTTTCAAAATTAAATATCTACAAGTACAAGAGTGTATTGTTTGATTATAATAGGCGTATCGATATTTACATCACAGCTGTATCTAACTCTTCCTTAATTCTCACTTAAGATATGCCTAAGGTTAATTTTAAAAAACCTATTAAAGCTTACTCATCAAAATCTTTAAAAATTTATAACGTAGCAATTACTTAAATATCAATTTATACTACGATGATAAATCATTCGAAAATTTGACATAATGGAAATTATTTATAAAGANATAATTTTTAACGATACAATAGCCATGGTTATTATTTTAAAAAGTATACGTTAGGCTTAACATCGACGAAAATTCAACGCGAAGCGACACGCAACGGAGAAAAATTTCAACACAGGATAGGTTAATATATTTTTACTACACAATCGGTTATCCGAAAAATAAGTTATCCGAACGACCTGTCCCCAATTGCTTCGGATAAACGACGCTCTATTGTATTTCGGCAATTCCTTTACAGAAAAATCTGAAATTTTGCACGTTATCTAAGAAAACAATTATCTTTCGAACGAGATAATCAGAATTACTATAGGAGTTTGGGGGGCGGAGAATCGAACCTCGAAAATCGGCAACTGTAATGTTTGTACTATACGTAGCCAGTCAGTGCTTTTCCACTTGACACGGAGACACTGCCGTGACTATCGACCTCTTGTTTTATATTTTATTTTGTTATTAATTTACTTGTTTATATATAAAGTATATAAGATTCTTTAAACACATAGTAAGACTAGCTGAAAAAATTTATTTTTATAAATGATGGAACAAAAAGTACTTTTAAAAACAGAAATAAACATCTTATTCATATTTTTAAAATATTTGTAAATGGCATCTTTAATATCAAATTAAAGAAACAAATAAGTTTGATACATATATTTTACTTTGCAGACTTTTCCTCATCTTAAAACAAAATAAAACGCGCAGTTATTTATTGTAACATCGTCACAATGCCGGGCTGCAATTTTTAATCATGTTTTTAATTAATTTAATTTAAAATATATGCTTTCCACCTCAAATTAGTAGTGGCTCGCCTCTGTACATCATACCTTTCCTCTAACAATAGAATCATGCTGGTCATCTATTAACTGCTTCCAGGAAAAAAGTTTTGTATTAAATAACGTGACTTCCGTTTTGCATCCGCAAGTTCTTTTATAGTTAATCGGGCCTCCTGATCCTAAGATTTCCATATCTGGCCTGTTCTTACATCTATGTAACTCCTTTCTAGAGATTAAGTAATGACAGACGGACGGCCGGACGGATTTTAAGATTTTGATAAAATATAAATCTTATATTCCGATGCCTGCTTTGAATATAATACCGAAATGGAGTAGATATTTATTTATTTATTAATAATTTCCAATTTTTTCCCTCCTGGTTGTTATATATAACAGAAGGAAAGTATGGCAATCGGCCAAACAATGATCTCCCCGAGATTTTTACATTTTTGAAATTAGGACACCTTAAAACGTCGAGAAATGCAAAAAAATTGGGGGTAATTTTATAGTGAAATTTGTTTATTAGGGGGATTGATACTATTAAATTTTGGTGGTTAAAGGTCGAGGGGGTGGGAGATAAAGAAGGTCATATGTATCTCCAGTAGGGTTGAACTTAATGACGATTTTACTCGTTATTAACATTTACAATTTTTCTATAAAACTCATACCTACCCTCAAAATAAAGCTTTTTGACATTTTATAATAGTTGAAAATATAAAACGTTTTTAAAACAAAATATAACAGATGGCGCCACCAAAATTTTAAATGTTACCAGGAAAGTTGAGCAACTCATTGCTGTTTTTTTTTTTTTTTTTTTTTAGATTTAGTTCATAGAATATTGTATACTAGTTAGACCATTCTGGCATATTCAAACTCGGTGTTATCTAGTATCATATACTGTAGAAGTGTAAAAATATAATAAAAAAATATTTTACGATTTTGATAAAATATAAATCTTATATTCCGATTTTTATAACAAAATCTCCTAACAGATGGCGCCCAACAACAAATTTATTTATTTATTATGATTAATAATATAAAAGTTATTTTTTATTTTTTGTTCATACAAAACTCCATAGACAATGGTGATTCAAACTCGGGCTCTAATTAATGCACTGACACTGTTTAATTTACGACTTCACCCCTGTTTTCAAACCTTAAAACTTGTGTGTAGTTCTCATAACTATATGCAGTATAATTCTATTGTTTGATGTTATTCAAACAATAGAATTATAGATTTTTCGACCCGTTTAGTAAGTAATATTTTACATACATATTAAAGAAAATATTATTTAATATTGCAGAATTTATTGTATATAATTAATAGATTATTTTTCAATACACAGTATTCTCGTATCAATGATTTTTATTTTTATTTGTTTTGTTTATCAAAGAAAAATTTTGTCTTATTAGTTAGGCCTCCTCGGACCCTATAACATCCGATATTTAAGCAGGACGAAGCCTTTGTACACTTGTAAACATCTAGGTTTTTTATCTAGGCCAAAAAAACCCGAGAAAATTAATTATTTCACAATTTTTGCGCTTTTTTTTCTTTATTTTTAATTAATGCACAAAGTACATTCCTAGCACAGCTGGGCTAGAAGGTACAATATATGAGTACAAGGTAGCGATAGAATAGACAAAATATACACATTGGTAAACGTATACAAATACAACCGATGCATGAAAAGTACAGTAGAGCGTCGTTTATCCGAAAGTCAGTTATCCGAAAGCATTCCAGTCGGCAAATTTAAATTTTCGCTAGTGCTGTGGCGCGGCAATCTTTGGCTATATCTTGGGCTACTCCAATATTATTTTTGTTGGTGTGTTTTTTTTAGCTGGCAGCCCTGGCACTTTTGTGTGGTGTTTTTCTGAAGACTGTGTGGTGCTGAATCGAACGTTTTTGATACTAGATCATCTTCTAAAGTATATATTTTTTGGTTTTTATATTTTTCAATATATTTATTTTTGTTTGTAAGAAATAAATAAATAATTTTTAACGATACAATAGCCATGGTTATTATTTTAAAAAGTATACGTTAGGCTTAACATCGACGAAAATTCAACGCGAAGCGACACGCAACGGAGAAAAATTTCAACACAGGATAGGTTAATATATTTTTACTACACAATCGGTTATCCGAAAAATAAGTTATCCGAACGACCTGTCCCCAATTGCTTCGGATAAACGACGCTCTATTGTATTTCGGCAATTCCTTTACAGAAAAATCTGAAATTTTGCACGTTATCTAAGAAAACAATTATCTTTCGAACGAGATAATCAGAATTACTATAGGAGTTTGGGGGGCGGAGAATCGAACCTCGAAAATCGGCAACTGTAATGTTTGTACTATACGTAGCCAGTCAGTGCTTTTCCACTTGACACGGAGACACTGCCGTGACTATCGACCTCTTGTTTTATATTTTATTTTGTTATTAATTTACTTGTTTATATATAAAGTATATAAGATTCTTTAAACACATAGTAAGACTAGATTTAAAAATTTATTTTTATAAATATTTTTATAATTTATGATTTTTAGTAATCAATATTTATAAAAGCACTTAAATGAAATTAAATGCTACATAATGTAATATGACGACAAAAATGTTAAATTAAATAATTAATCAATACTCATATTACATTTTTAAGCAAAATGCATTTATAAATTTGTTTAAATTAGTAGAATTATACACTTGATCTTGCTAATGATACTGCAAAAAGCAGCAAGCAAACATACTAATTATAATTAATTAATAAATCTTCGAGTTACATATGTATTATATATATAGCAAAAGAAAAAAATTACCATTTAATTACATTAATAATTGATGCATTTATAAAAATTAAATGTTATTTTACAAATAACTTATAAATATTTTGAAACATTCCTAAATGTATATTTTTATTAGTACAGTATTAAAACTTTTATATAGGCCTAAATAACTTTTGAATGTGTATTCTGTAGGCCTATAATTGCTAAATTGAATGTTTGCATAAACAGATTAAAAGGAATTCTAAGGATGTGAAGTACAGTACATTTAAAAACTGATTTTACTTCTGTATACTATTGTAACAATTTTTAGTCTAGATTCTAGAACTACAGGATACTACTGTATTCATATTTAATGGTGGAAAGATTCTAATATTTGAGACTTGTGTCAGAGATGGAGTAGTATTCCCAGTTTCTTCTAATACAAAATTATTCTAACCTGACTGTTAAAGGATTAACACGAATCCAAAGCGGCTCGTACCCGTGCTGTAGCACTCTTTTTGAGAGCTCCGTTGCAGGTCTGTTTGCGATGCCATCTTGACGCTTCTCAACACAAACTTGCAACATTCTAGCAGTAGTGACCCCACTGTACTGTACATTGTCATAGATATGTTAAAGAATGCTTCAAGGGAATTACATAAACCCCCGATTTTTCATATAAAGTAACACTGTCCCTGTCATTACACAACAACCTACGTAAAATGGGTTGAATAACAATTGATAAAAAAAGGTCATAAGTTCTAAAGACATGGGCTATGAGTAAAGATAAAGATCCCACAAAGGAAATTGGGGGATATGCAATGTGGCGATCATGTTTATTACAGAATGTCTGTGGAAATGTTGACTTCCTAACGCGATTAACGAAAAAATTAAACTTGGCTGGAGAATAATCTGCCACACGGGAGAGAGGGCGCTGGATCCTGAGAGATTGGTTGTGAATATTTTGCTCTTGTGTTTTTCAAAGTTTTTTGCTATAATTCTTATAATTTGTCAGGGTTGTTATATATTTTTGGAAAGCATTTTTTTCTTACTGATCAAGAATATATCAAGTTTGTTAAGATTGGATGATTTTCACGATTTCACACGTTTTTGAAAACCCCGATTTTTCCGGCTTGATTATCCGGACCATCTTAACCAATCAACCGGAATTTATTCAAGATTTTTTATTGCGCTAACAACGTCAGTACATTTTTAAAATTTCGAGGTTTTAGGTCCAGTAGTTAAGGAGTTATCTCTTACTTCCGGTTAAATTTCGGTGGGTTATAACTCGCCTCCGACTCGTTATTTCCAAAAAGTTTTTGGGCGTCTCTTAGAAGATACCAAATGTGACTTTTTCCAAAAATTTCATGCTAATATCTCCAATAGTTTTTAAATTATCGCTGTTCGACAAAATTTTGGAATTTCAACACTACTGTTCCATTTCCGGTAGTCATAGCAACGCTCAATGACTTCTACAGGAAACTTCTAGAACTTTTTCCGGAAGTTACATTTTCTCCGTTAATTTATTATTATTATTTTTTTAATTTTTAAACCTATTATTTTGATTGTATGGAATCTGAGGTCAAAACATTTCACGACACTGCCTATGGCATTATCGATGAAATTAAACAATATTTCAAGCATAACCCGAATGCCAAATTAGGAGTTGAATGTCACTTAACGTATGTACTGACACAATTCATCAGAGTAGTAGAACTGGCGGAAAGTACTTTTAAGAAAAATAATCTATATGATTATATCGAACAGACACTCTCAGGATTAGCTACTAAAGATGATTTAAAGAAATTCAAAGATGCTCACGTTGATGAAACTACAAAAATCCTAATGGATATTCTACAAACAGTACAAAATCAGAGGAAAACCTCTTTTGATGATCTAACTAGTAAAAAAGTTCCTAGCATTCCTAGCTATATATAGATATCTTACAAAAGGGAATAAAACAAATTAAAATTATAGACGAACCACCTCTACCTGCATATACTGTATTAATATATAGTGATAATAATAGAGCCACTTCTGATGAAACGAAAAGTACTTTAATAAGTTTAGACCTGTTAAGCTTGGTGTAGGCATACGTCGAATAAGGAAAATTAGGAATGGTGGAATTGCAGTAGTTTTAAACCATAAGAATGAGGTAAACTACTTTAAAGAGAATGTCGAACAAATTCCAGGTTTAGTATCACGTTTGCCAAAAAAGAGACTACCATTTGTCAAAATTGCTTCCGTTCCGAAAACCATTAATAAAGAGGATCTTGCATTAGACATTTTTGAGCAAAACCCGTACATTTTTCCCACCTATACTGAACACACTTTTGTTGAAAACGTTAACATAAGGTTTCCGCTTAATTAATTTAACCAAAAAAAATGAAAATCATATTTCCTGGATTCTTGAAGTATCTCCACAAATTAGAGAAAATATGATAAAAGCAGAAAAAATCCATCTTCTTTGGACAACCTGTCCTGTCTTTGACTTTCACAGTGCTATCGCTGTTTATCATTTGGACATTTTGCGAAAAATTGTTCTTTAAAAGAAAATGTGTGTAGCCATTGTAACGGAAATCATTTATATAAAGATTGTCAAAACAAACATGACTCACCGAAGTGTACTAACTGCTTAAGAGAAAACAGAGTACAGAATTGTCACAACACAATGGATAAAACTTGCCCAGTGTATCTAAGAGAAAAAACTAAATTCCAACAAAGAACTGACTACATAATACAGTGATCTGCGAGGCTACTTCACAACTCAAGGATTAACCGATGTCTGGAGATGGTGATCTGACATTTGTATTTTGGAACTGTAGAATGAATATCGCCGTATAATATTTGATTATTGTATAATTTTAATTAATGATCTTAGTTCTTTCTAATAATTGTTACTAAGGACCATACATTTTGTCATATAAATTGTATGTACTGTACTTAGCATACTTTGAATTTCCTTTATTGTTTGTACTTTGGTGTCATTGACACACTTTTAATGTCAAGTATTTCTCTCTGATTGGCAAGTTGCTGATTATTGTACTTATTTATTGCGTCATATGTATTATATAATCAAGTATATATATTTGATAATAATGGTGAACTTTACATGTTTTTCAATACTAACAGCAGCTTGTCATGAATTTGTACATAGTTGTATATAGACCAGTTAACTTGTTTTGTTTTTATTTTGATTTTCATGTTATTGATGTACTATTTTATGTATTTTATTTCTTATGTTCTTTTAATTCTTCATCATTAGAGTTATGTGTACAACATCTATACCTGAGCATTGTAATTTCTTTGTGTACAACCGGTAATGCACCAAAGCGGGCCGGTCTGTATATATATATTATATATGTAAATCAAATAATGAATGAATGAATGAATGAATGAATGAATGAATGAATCTGCCACACGCACCGCAGTAGAAATAATCTGTAACTCTTTGTTTACTAATGCTTGATTGGATGGAACTAAGAACGTTCTACCTATGAGAGTCGAAATACCAGAATTTACAAAAGACGGGGGTTGGAAAGCAATGGAAGGGACAATGTGTGGCACTTGTAATGCAATAACGTCAACAAAAGTTTATTATTATTTTTTTATTGTTATTTTCACGTTGTCCATGTTTTCTGAATTGGAAAAGTTATACAACTGAATTATATCTCTAACTGCATTATTATTTAGAAAACTCCGCCATACCTTTAAAATGCAGTCTATTTTAAACACTTATCGAACGTTTTCGGTCAGATTAACAGACCTTCTTCAGGATCGAACTATCAGAATTTAAATTTGCAAAACGGAAATTCCAAAATGCACGTTCTATAATCTTCTCAATTGCGCATGCCCATTATTATAATTTTAATGTCGCCGCTTTCCATGCCGATGCTATTTTGTTTGATTCACGAAAATTTANTATGGCACACCCAAAGGCTTTGGAAAGGTTACAAGCAAGAGTAAAACGTTTCTCTACGACAACGTTAGCTAAGCAACTAGGAATGACGAGGATAATAATTTCATCCCCAGCCATGCCGAGGCTATTCGGATTTGCTAAGATACATAAATCAGAAAAAAGCTTGAGGCCAGTAGTGGATAAATGCTGTGCTCCTACGATATTATTAGAACGAAAGCTTAAGGAATTTATTAATGCGAACATGCCTCCACACGTATATAGCGTAAAGCAGCCAGTAGAGGTGCTCCAAAGGTTGAAACAATTGAAAGTTAACGAAACAAACTACATGACAGTGCTCGATTTTAAGGCTATGTACCCTTCAGTTAAGCTTGAACCATGCTTTTGTCACCTAAGAGATTTTTTATTGGGCAATGTAAAGAACGCAGTAAAGTTAAGAAAGCAAATTCTAGAACTGGCGCATTTGGCTACTTTCTCGTCACTTTTCGCCTTTGACGGTACTGCATACTCGCAGCTTAGAGGAGTACCAATGGGTAGCCCGGTCTCAGGCTTATTGTGCGAGATGGTAATAAGATCTCTGGAAAATAACGTATTACAGAAATATGAAGATAGTATGATAATGTATGCAAGGTACGTCGACGACGTATTTATTATTTGGAATAATAAACCAGACATACGCCAATTTATTAGATATAAACAGCAATAATTATGGCCTGGAATTAGAACTAGAGCAGCAAAATCAAAAAATAATACATTTCTTAGATATATAGGCCGAAGTAGATGAAGAAGGGGTAATCAATACGAAAGTATATAGAAAGCCGACGTACGTTCCGGATTTGATACCATGGTCCTCGCATGACCCAACAAGCTACAAACTAGCAGCGTTTAGAGCACTAATTAAAAGAGCATACACTCATTGTAGCAGGATTCATGATACGCGTAAAGAGCTTGAATACATCGCAAAGCTAGCAAGAAATGTAGGACTTAAGGAGAATAAAGTAAAAGCCTTAATACGAGCAGAAAAATAAAGCAATAAAAATAAAGATAAAAGAGAGAAAAAGGAGTTCACCGTAATGGAATACAGGGCTCACTTAAGTAACATATACAGAACAATAGGAATAGAAAGCAACAAGAAAATAGCGTATAAGAGAAACACGACAATATTCCAAATGCTAAGAAATGACAAAATACCCGTTGACAGGAGGCTGATCCCAGGTGTATACAGAATACCATTGTATGATAAGAGGCTGAATAAGGAGATATATTATATAGGAGCCACTAAAAGATCATTAAATGAAAGATTGAAGGAGCACGAAAAGAATGTAAGATTTAAACAACCAATCACGGCTTTGGCTAATTATGCGATCGCAAATCCAATAGAGATCGAAATCAAATGGAGCAAGGCAGATGTCATACAAAAAGTGGAAAATAGAAAACATCTAAAGTATGCAGAAGCCTAACACATTTACAAGTGCAAAGAAAAAGGGCAAAATATAAATTTTCGTGAATCAATCAATCATTTTCGTGAATCAAAATAGCATCGGCATGGAAAGCGGCGACATTAAAGGTATAATAATGGGCATGCGCAATTGAGAAGATTATAGAACGTGCATTTTGGAATTTCCGTTTTGCAAATTTAAATTCTGATAGTTCGATCCTGAAGAAGGTCTGTTAACTGACTGAAAACGTTCGATAAGTGTTTAAAATACACTGCATTTTAAAGGTATGGTGGAGTTTTTATACAACTGAATTCTCAACATTCTACTGCTCCACTACTGAATTGCCCAATGTAGTTTAAGACAAATAACTAGGTGCACTGTTTTCAAACTTTTTTTGAATTCGATCATATGTGAACTTAACATAAGTATCATATTGATCAGCTAATTTTGTTACTCTTCACAGATCTGATTTTCACGATCTTTCATCATACGCTCGCAGATTAAGCCAACTTGTTGGAAAGTAAAAAGCGGCCGATCGCGTCTCGACGGTGCTAAAAGGCCATTTCCAGGACTTACTACATTCATGATGGGAGAGTCTGACGAACTCTCCGGTGTGTTAGATCCTCCGGACGAAAAATAAAATCGTTCTCGTCTTTGTAGTCTTTTCATCTCTTCTCTAATATTTATGGCTATTTGTTCAGATGTAAGTTTAGGAGAAACATCTCCGAACGGTGATGGCTGGATTTCGTGCAATCTTGTCGGCGGAATGGCCGGCGATAATGTCATGGAGCCACGTCTTCGTCTTTTAGCTGGTTTGCGATTAATTGTGTTCGATGGATCCCACTCGCAGAACCTCTTCAACTTAAGTCTACGGGCCATACCGAAAATACCGTTATATCTCTATAAATATCACGTAATTTGAAGTTCCGTACGAAATTCACACACTTAGAAGTCCGAAAAGTCAGTAATTTTTAAACTTTTTAACAATGGAACGTTTACTTCCGTAATATCGACCCGAGTAAATTAAAAAGTTCGTTAAATATTTTGTTCTATTCTTAAATTTAAAAATTGTGTTCGATTTTTTGCCTGATGACGTAGCAATTTTTTAAAATTAAAAGTATGTGATATTAACGCCGATTTGCTGTTTTTCTAATGACTGTCATAAATAAAGAATACCCAAGTGATATTCATAAATGAAAAATCCCGTGTTTATTTGTATTGTTTCAGTTCTTTTTCTCTTAAAATATTCTTCATGTTTTCTATTTACTTTAAAAAGAAATATTTCAGCACTGGCAAAAATTTAATTTGATGTTCATTTTTGTAATTTAATGCTTTTTGATATTGAATGCAAGACTAAAGAAATGATTGTTATTTATCTCTTAAATTTTTATATTAAATCTAGTCTTAAAATGCAACATTTTTTCATCATTTTGCAATTTAATGACATAAATGTTTTCCAACTCTTTTGATTTGTTTAATATCAACTTCTTAATCAAACTTTAAACGGATATTAAAAAAAATTTATATTTAAAAAATGAGAAAATTGATTTGATTTAAGATTGCTGTATATAACAAGCTAGAATATACTACATTGAATGGCTATAGCGACGCCACGTTGGATGAAACTTGTATACGTGTCCTCCATTTTACCTTTCAGTCAAGGGAGCGTGGCATTTGTGTCGTGTAAAGGAACGAGTTACAATATTATAACTCGTTGAGTAAAAGTGTGCTGCTACACATACATATACATACATACATACATACAAGTATCTCTCGTATAACACGGTAGATACGTTCCGAAAAAGTGCTGTTATACGAATCTGTGCTATAGGATTAGGTTCCAAAAGTTAACAAAAATCTACTATTTTTTTTTTGTTATTAAAAGAAATATATTCATTAAAGCAATCCATACTTTATTTCCAACCAATAATTAACTAACAAGCACAATTGAAAGTACTGTTAATATCAGGGCTGTGGAGTGGGAGTCGTCAAAAATCCGCTGACTCCGACTCCATTTTACTTTCCCAACTTGTTACGTATATAAAACGGAAAAGTATTGGAATCGTGTCATATTTGACCCAAGTATTTTTTGCAAATTTACACGTTTGGAGACCTCCCGAACCCAAAAAAAAATGTCAATTAAAGGGCGCAAATTCGTGTGCGAGCGCGTGTTAGCGTCTAATTTAATTTCTTTATTCTCTGTTCTGAAATATTAAACAATGTCCCAGAATGGGTATAAAGTTTAAGAAATGAAATTTGGCACGGTAGCTTGTGTATAAAGAGGCATTAATGCTATTAAATTTTGGTTCTTAAAGGTTGACAGGATGGAGACAATAGAAGGGGTCATATGTCATATCTGCAGTGTGGTCGGACTTAATATTTTACTCGTTATTCGCGTTCACATTTTTTTTTTTTTTATAAAACCGTCTCTACCCTCAAAATTAAGCTTGCGTTTTTAATGATGAAATTTAATGATGATTTTTTCAATGCACTGGAAAAAGTAAATCACATTGACCTTTCTTCAAATTTGGATGTTAAAACGGCGATATTGCGCGATCCAAGATACAGTATTGCCACCAACGCAAGTTTCAGTAGAACATTTATTTTCCTTTCTTAAAATTATTAAATCTGAATGATAAGAATAGAAGCGATTCTTTTTTAAGAAGTAATTCTCTTTATAACAGAGATGAAAAATAATAAATTAATCAACATGGCAAAATAAGCAACCTTTTTCTTTACCAGTCTACATATCTTGTTATATTTCTTATTCTTGACTTATTTTAATGTACCTGCGTACTTGCATTGTGGCGACAGCTTTGATCATAAATCCAAAAGTCGCCACCAGGAAGAACTCTGAACTTAGCGGACCTGGAAACCTGACCCTGTGACCTCACATTTGGTTCGAACTTTGCCAGGTGTACACTTGTATCGTTCTTATGTTCACTCGGTAGTGTAACATCGTAACTAGGGTTTCTCATTTCCCGGTCTTTTGCTTGTCCCGGGATCCCGGGATAAAAGTGAACTGTTTCCCGGGACCCCGGGAAATCCCGGGATAGAATCAATTATTTTTAAAGTATACAAAATATCTTGAAATCAAATGATATAATTATTTTCCATTTTTAAAAGTAATTTTAAAGTTCTGTAACCTCCAAAATCATAATAATGCTGTGTAAGGTCTATAGGCCTATAATAAAAATTACCTTTAAATAACGTAGAAATTTTCACAAATAGAAAAAAATTAATTAAAGTTTGCTGGAAACTGCATACAACAACAACAAAAAAAATGTTTTGAATTGAGTTAAAAATTAAAAAAATGAACTTCTAATTTAGAAGGTAATTTTCGTTTTTTAAATAAAATATAATACAAAATATTGCAAACTTTTATAAGATTTTAAAAAGCAAAGATGGTCAATACTCCGATAACTCACTCTAATTCTTATTTTAGTAATGAAAAGTCTTGCCACCGAGAATGCCCTTTCCGATTCAATTGATGTGATTGGAATAGTGTTTAATGCATTTAAGAGAAGACAGATATTATGTGTTTTTTCACCTGTAGCCTGGAAGATTTCGAGTTCGTTTTCGAGATTGTAGTACTTCTTTCGCTCTCTAGTATTCTTGATTTGTCTACCTTGGCTGCTTTAATAGCGGCATCAAGCTTAGAGCTCGATAATTCGGCAATTCATTTGGCTTTAATAATCAGGTTTATGAAGAAAAACTTCATACTTGCAGACTTTGTACTCGTTTGTATCCTTGCCCAATTTGCACAATCTGGCGTCAGGCATTTATTGAAGCTACTGGGCATGGTTAAAACTCAAGACAGCGTAAGCACAATTATTCCAGATATTACAGGTTCCGACAAGTAAAGAATTTTTATAGTCCTGCCACAAATAAGCTATATATTGATTATTGACCATTTGTGACATGCTATAACGAGCAAAAATTTAAAAAAAAAACTAATAGGTAGGTTTAAAATTAATAAATACAAATGTATTTTGACAGTGAATGAGTTAATTATGCTTTCTATTTGCAAAATTCCTCAACCTTAACACAAAATAAGAAAAAAAGTGAATTTTTAAGAAATTTACGGGATTTCCCGGGTTAAAAAAACAACCGGGATCCCGGAATCCCGTTTGAGAAACCCTAATCGTAACCTATGTAACATACGGAATTAAAATACAGTTTTCGAATTATTTTGTCCGTAGTCTAATACTGTATCGTAAGGTAATTACATACGAATTAGCGCTGCATGGTATATTATGTACTGTACATTCTTAATGTTTAATTAATTTTTTAAAATCGTTTTATTTTGCATTTTTTTTAAGTAATCAGAATCGTCGCCATTATTACTTTCCTGGCTGTTATACGTAACTAGCTGTTACCCGCGACTTCGCCCGCGCGGATTTTGCAAGCAAACCCCATTTATATTTAGTATATCAACAACTATAGTAATTGTTATATAACACCTACCGCTGAGAATACTGAGGATTGCTGAGAATAGCGAAAATCAAACGAACTATTTTCAATTTGATCAAATTTCTGGAACGTTTACAATCATTCCATAATCGAACCAATATGCAATAACAAATTCAAATTTAAAACGGTTCGAACATTCGGTTAAAAAATCGAAATACATAAAAATATTTATAACAATGTCTGAAATGTTATCAATTTAATATACCTAAGCACTCAATGAAAACTAAACATAGTTGAAAACAAAACAATCGTATCTAAAATAGTACAATGGAAGCCGTTCTTCAGGTTAACACTTAATTCTCTCCCTCTCTCCCCGCGGGGAGAATTTCGAAAATCCCTTCTTAGTGTGCGTACACACTAGGCGTTTTTAAACGCGCGTTTGACGAACCAAGAGTTCTGCATAGGCGTACACACTCAAATGCGCGTTTATAGATTTTTCTTAAAACGCGCGTATTGCGGGCGTTAGCCGAGCGCTTTGAGATATATGTGCTGCCATGTTACCGTACATTCGATCGCGCGTTTTGCGGGCGTCAGCCGAGCGCTTTGAGATATATGTGCTGCCATGTTACTGCACATTCGATTGCGCGCTTTCGGATAGAGTGGACGTACGTTGGCCGAAATGGAGAACGATCATTTCGATACTGATCTATTTATTGATGAAATCTAAAAGAGACCAACCATTGTCAAAGGATTTTATAGATATTTTAAAAGAATTAAAAAACTTGGGTTTATTTTGTCTTACTTTTGGATGGAACGTCGCAAACATTCTATGTGTTAGTCTATGAATATTGGGTGCACCCAAAATTCTCTTTGCCTCTGCCATCGTCTTTTATAGCGACGATGGAGGAGGGCACACAAGCAATTATTTTCACGTTTATTTCCAAACTGAACCAGTGCGTATGCTCCACTAAACGCTCGTCTAACGCCTGGTGTGTACGCTGCTATCGCGCGTTTAACGCCTAGTGTGTACAGAGCCTTAGTGTGCATTTTCATCACGTACACTAACTGTTTACCAAATTTCACCTCTTTAGGTTCAGCGGTTTGCTCTGGGCGATGATGGATTAATCAGCCAGTCTTTCTTTCAGTTTATATGGAGAGTATAACTCTATTTAGGTTTTTTCTCCGATTGACGTTATTAT